ATCTATACCAATGCAAAGTATTCATTACTATATCCTATTCCCCTTTTCTTTCTTTAAAAGGAGATTGACTATATTCATTATCATGTATAACTAACCCCATTTAAATGAAAACAAATACTTATAAACAATATTTTGGAATATGGGCGTCTATCTTTCTAAACTGCTTCCTGCTGATTGGGGGCGATGTTCATACCATGGGGATCATGATAAAACATAGAAACCTGACCAAGTCCTTGTTTTTGTAGTCTGTAAGGCTGTATCGTCTTAGCTTCAGGGGATCTTGCTTGATACTTGTTTGATCAAACCATATTAGTCTGGAAGGAATCTACAGCTTTTTATTTTCTGTGGAAATACAAGCAAAACCTTTATTTCTAAGTAGCCTGTCCTTAAACTTAAATTTTGAAGTTAGAGCATTTTAAAAATGTATAAGTTGGGTTAATTTAGCAGCATTTATAATCAAATGTATTTTAGCAGCAGTAAGTCTTTCCTCAGCAATCAAACAATTTAAAGACAGCAATATGGCATATAGTATCCAGATTCCTTGTGTATTTTTTATCTTTATGTGGCTTTTTTATTACTTTATTTTTACTTTCTTTTTTTTCCCCCGAGACGGGTTTTCTCTGTGAAACCCCGCCTGCCTCTGCTTTCTTCTCTCACAAGCCTATATATATTTTTAAACACAGTGTATCCCTTTAGAGTTTTTCTTCATCTGGATCTGTCTTTATCATCTGGGGAGTGCCGAGTCTAAACTCCAGAAGCGCTGGGACAGCGCAAGCATATGGAAGCTGCTCCAATGCCTCTCAGCGGCCCGACAGGGCAGGCAGTAGCAGCATGTTTCCCTCTTTCTCTGGAAACCTTTGGGCATGGGGTCATCCCGCTCACTGACACCATTCTATTACGATAAATCTTTCTGCCAAATGCTGCCTGAGCCCCACCGCCACGTGTGAGCTTTACGCTAGCCACCCGCCCGAGTTAGGCCCTAATGAATACACAGAAACTTGCATTAAGTTCAAAGCTGCTTGGCCAATGACTAGGACTTGTCATATGCTAGCTCAGTCTGAATTATCATAAATCTATATATGTTATAAGACTTTTCTTATCAGATGCCTTATTGGCGTTCCTCCTTGCTGGTGGACCACATTGTGCCCCTGGAGCAGGAGCAGAGGGGAAAAAGAGAGAGACACTTCCTGTTTCCTTGCTTAGATATGAGTCTCCTTGCCATGTCACTTCCTGCCTGGATCATCACTTCTCTACTACATTTCCCAGAATCCTCTTTGACTCCTACTCCTTGCTTGCCATTGGCCAAACAATATTTTATTCAACAATCATCAATAAGATAAACATCCAAAGAAGTACATTCCCCATCACAGACATCTATAGAACATTCCATCCAAACACCAAAGAATATAGCTTCTTTTCGGCATTACATGGAACCTTCTCAAAAATCCACCATATACTCGGTAACATAGCAAACCTCAACAGGTACAAAAAATTGGAATATTCCCCTGTGCCTTATCAGACCACCATGCTTTAAAGATAGAATTCAAAAACAACACAAATTGCAGAAAACCTACCAACTCATGGAAATTGAACAACACACAATTGCACCATGCCTGGGTCAAGAAAGAAATAAGAAAGAAATTAAAGACTTCCTAGAATTCAATGAAAATGAAGACACACAAACCCAAACTTGTGGGAGACTTTGAAAGGAGTACGAAGAGGAAAGTTCTTAGCTCTAAGTGGTCACATGAAGGAACTAGAAAATAGTCACGCAAGAGAGTTGACATCACAGCTGAAAGTTCTAGAACAAATGGAAGCAATTTCACCTGGAGGAGTAGATGCCAGGAAATAATCAAACTGAGGGCAGAAATCAATAAAGTCGAAACAAAGAAAACAATTCAAAGAATCAATGTAACAAAGAGTTGGTTCTTCCTGAGCTAATTGGGAGCATGAGGGTAGGGGAGAGGGAGCTGCCACAACAAGAGCAAGAGAAGAGGAGTAGAGGAGAGGAAATGGAGGAGCAGAAATATTGAGTTGGGGGAAGAATAGAGGAGAGAGGCCAGAGGAGAAATACCATATCAGAGGGAGCCACTATAGTTCCGAGAAGAGATCTGGAATTAGGGAGATATCCAGAGACCTACAAGGATGACATTGCCTGACAATCCAGGCAATGGTGGAGAGGATAATCTAAATGCCCTTCCCCTAAAATGAGATTGATGACTTCTCTTTATGCCATCTTAGAGCCCTCATCCAGTGGCTGAAGGAAGCAGAGACAGACATCCACAGATATACATTGAGCTGAAATCGGGAATTTAGTTGAAGAGAGGGAGGAATGAAGAGTAAAGGGGTCTGTACCAGTTTGAAGAAACCCACAGGAACAGTTGGCCTGAACAAGGGAGAGCACAGATGCTCTCTGGGAGGCCAGTACAAGACCGATCCAGACTCCTGAACATGGATGTCAATAAGGAGGCCTCTGCACTCCAGGGAGCCTCTGCTAGTGAATTAGTATTTTTCCCTGGTGCAAGAAGGGACTTTGAGAGCCCATCCCACATGAAGAGATACACTCTGGCCCTAGACACATGGGGAAGGGCCCAGGCCCACAACAGGAAGATTTGGTGGACTTAACAGAGCCCCTGTTGAGGGCCCTTCCCTGCCTGGGGAATGGTGGGTGAATGGGGTGGGGGGTAGGTTGTGGGTGGGACTTACAGGTGAAACAAGCTTGTTCCCTAACTTGAACTAATAAAAAAAAAAAACCAAAGAGTTGGTTCTTCAAGAAAATCAACAAGATAGACAAACTTTTATCCAAACTAACCGAAAGGCAGAGAGAGAACATGCAAATTAACAAAATTAGAAATGAAAAGGGGGACATAACAACGGACACTGAGGAAATCCAGAGAATCTTCAGGTCATATTTTGAAATCCTGTACTCCACAAAATTTAAAAATCTAAAGGAAATGGAAAATTTTCTGCACAGATATCATTTACCAAAAATGATTCAAGAACAGATAAGCAACTTAAAGAGACCCATAACCTCTAAGGAAATAGAAGCAGTCATCAAAAGACTCCCAACCAAAAAAAGCACAGAGCAGATGGCTTCAATGCAGAATTCTACAAGAAATTCAAAGAAGAGCTAATAACAATACTCGCCAAATTGTTCCACACAATGAAAGCAGAAAGTTCATTGCCAAACTCCTTTTACGAAACTACAATTACCTTGGTACACAAGCCACACAAAGACACAGCTAAGAAAGAGAACTAAATAACATCAATATCCCTCATGAACATAGAAGCAAAAATACTCAACAAAATACTGGCAAACTGAATCCAAGAACATATCAAAAAATCATCCATAATGATCAAGTAAGCTTCATCCCTGGGATGCAGGGTTGGTTCAACATTCAAAAATCTATCAATGTAATAATCCACCATATAAACCAACTGAAGAAGAAAAACCACATGATCATCTCACTAGATGCTGAAAAGCCTTTGACAAATTCAACATCCCTTCATGATAAAGGTCCTGGAGAAATCAGGAATAACAGGAACATAATTGAACATAGTAAAAACAACATAAAGTAAGGCAACAGCCAACATCAAACTAAATGGAGAGAAACTCAAAGCTATTCTTCTAAAATCAGGTACAAGACAAGGCTGTCCACTCTCTACATATAGAGCTAGAGCAATAAGACAAAAAAAGAAGATCAATGGGATACAAATTGGAAAGGAAGAAGTCAAGTTTCACTGTTTGCAGATGTTATGATAGTCTACATAACTGAACTGAAAAACTCTACCAGGGAACTCCTACAGCTGATAAACACCTTCAGCAAAGAGGCACTATACGATATTAACTGAAAAAAAATCAGTAGCAATACTATACATGGTTGAAAAATGTGCTGAGAAAGAAATCAGAGAAATATCACCCTTAACAATTGCCACAAACAACATAAAATACCTTGGGGTAACAATAACCAAAAAATGAAAGCCTGTATCATAAGAATTTTGAATCTTTAAAGAAATAAACTAAAGAAGATACCAGAAAATGGAAAGATCTCCCATGTTCTTGGATAGGCAGGATCAACATAGTAAATGTGGCAATCTTGCCAAAAGAAATCTACAGATTCAATTCAATCACCTAGCACAATTCTTCACAGAACTTGAGAAAACAATTCTCAACTTTATATGGAAAAACAAAAGACCCAGTTTAGCCAAAATGATCATGTACAATAAAAGAACTTCTGGAGGCATCACCATCCCTGATTTCAAGCTGCATTATCGAACTATACTCCTGAAAACAGCTTGGTATTGGCAAAAATAGACAGGTAGACCAATGGAATCGAGGTGAAAACCCTGATATC